CACTATGCCAAGTGAAGTTAGCCAATCACAAAAGGACAAATATTGTATGAGTCCACCACTATAGAGAATAACACCAATTACACGAATCATACAGACCAATTCCCAGACAAAGGGGTAGAAAATATGCCTACTGGACATGAACCATGTATCACCCCCTTATGGGCATTTCATAAGAGCCACCATCAAAGAGGAGAACACACATCTGCTGTAGCGTCTCCCGGATGCTGTACAATATCGTGACAAGGTTGTGACAAATCGTCGGGACGTCCGTAGAAATGAGATGAAAATCTTACTGGAAAATCAAGTTCAGACCATGGAAGAGACGCATCTACATGTCAGAGGAGGAACTTACATGTCTGTTCGTGGGTATGGTGGGTAAACAGGGAGGAGAGACCTCACATCAGGATGGGATGCTAAACAATAATCATAGGGGAAAAGAAACCTGTTTCCATGATCCTGGGGTGACACTTTTCTCCCCAACCCTCAGTGAACCTTGTCGGGGACTAAGCACTATGGTGACCTCAGCTCCTCACCTTACAGGTAACATGGTATCCTCTAAGGGACACACCAGAAAGACTTGACATGGAAACCTGAGTGAATGAGCCAGGTCCGACCTCAAAACTACCTTTACCCTTGGACTTAGGCTGAAATACTCTGATGGGAGAGGAAGCAAAGGTGGCCACCCCAAGAAAGGGGAAATGGTGGTCAGTGGACCTTGGGTGGACTCCTAGGTTAGTGAGTATCCAGTGAAAGAGGACCTAGAAGCGCCTATATGTAATATCTCAGTGGTGCCCCCCTGCATTAATAAGACAGGTTTTAATCTGAGAGGCAAGGAAGGATCTGCCCTTGTAAGAATACAGGAAAACTTCCCCTATCATCAACCCCCACACTCAATGTAAACAGAGCTCAATCACCTAAGAAATTATTATGTGATTTATATTTAGATCTTTGGTCCATCTTGAGTTTGTTTTTGTACATGGTGAGAGGTATGTGTTTCATTCTTTGGCAAGTGAAGAGCCATTTTTTCCAACACCATTTGTTGAAAAGGCTATCTCTAGCCTATTTTAATGTGTTCTAGTCCTTTATCAAAAATTGGGTGTTTTTAAAGGCTTGAAGACAACCAGGCAGCTATCTAGCTAAGAAACAACAAAGCCCACATGGAAGAAGCACACCAGCCTACCCTGACACGAATGCTGAAGACAAAGCAGGTGCATAGGCAAATGCGGTGACGAAAGCTGATGGTGCCAAGCTGTCAAAATATATAGAATCTGGGGTCCCATAGGCTGGAAAATAAACAAGGGGCCATCTAACTGAGAAACAACAAAGCCCTCATGGAAGAAGCACACCAGCCTGTGAGATGACAAGGCGTCGAAGGGATCGGGTATCAGGCATCAAAGACAACAACAAAAAAAATCATAGCATTGTGAATGAGGGATCGTGCAGAGTGGGGAGCTGGGGCCCATCTGGGGGAAATTGGACATCCCTTGCAGAAGGGCTGCAGGGAGGAGATAAGCCAGTCAGAATGCAGCGTAGCAATGATGAAATATACAATTTTCCTCTAGTTCTTAAATGCTTCCTCCCCCACCCACTATCATGATCCCAATTCTACCTTACATATCCGGCTGGACCAGAGGATGTACACTGGCACAGGTAGGAACTGGAAATACAGGGAATCCAGGACAGATGAACCCCTCAGGACCAGCGGTGAAAGTGGCGATAGCGGGAGGGTGGAGGGAAGGTGAGGGAGAAAGGGGGAACAGAGGACAAGGTCTACATATAACCTCCTCCCTGGGGGACGGACAGCGGAGAAGTGGGTGAGGGAGATGTCAGGTGGTGTAAGATATGATATAATAATAATAATTTATAAATTATCAAGGGTTGGGGGGAGCAGGGAGGGGGGTAAATGAGCTGATACCAAGGGCTCAAGTAGAAAGCAGATGTCTTGAGAATGATGATGGCAACATATGTATGAATGTGCTGGACACAAAGGATGTATGTACGGATTGTGAAAAGAGTTGTATGAGTCCCTAATAAAATGATTTATTTTAAAAATTGGGTGTTTGTAGGTATTCACTTTTATTTCTGGGTTCTCAAGTCTAATTCATTGGTCTTCACACTATCATTGTTCCAGTACCAGCCTGCTTTGATTAATGTCACTGTGATAGTTAAGGGTTATTGTGCCAACCTAGTCGATAAACACATGTGGGATAAATCGAAGGGTGGAAAGATAAATGGCTTGGTGAGCCTCACCTTTCTTGTTCTCTGATGGTCGGACCAGTGTGCGGCTGCCTTAGCTATTTCTTTGCCTCAGCTGGCAAGGCTCACTTCCTGCGAGACATCCCTGAGGAGAAGCCACATGGACCTACCCCGATGCAGCCCTGGATGCTGGAGCAGCTGCGTGGAGACCCCTGCCAGCGCTGAGATGCTCACACGCTCACTGATTCCACTTTCCTCCTGCAGTCGGCGTCATTGCGTGTGTTTTGTGAGTTGGAGGACGACTTTATAGATTGGTGTCGGACCTATCGGCTAATGTTGGACTTATAGACTTGGGCAGCACTGGGTTGGGATGCTCTCTTAATGTACACTTGCCCTTTATATAAAACTCTCTCTTTCATACGTAAGAGTTTCTGTGGATTTGTTTCTCTAGCCTACCCAGACGAACACAGTCATTGTACAGTATGTTTTAAAGTCTGGGGGTGGAAGGCCTGTTACTTTGTCTTCATTTTATAATAGTGTTTTATTTATTCTGGGTTTCTTTCCTTTCCATATAAAGTTGGTGGTTAGTTTTTCCATGTGCTTTTCTTGACATGTCTTACTCCTGAAGACATAGTTTTAGCCTTTGGGAATGAGCACTGTTTAAATTCTTGCTTTGTGTCTAACCCTCATTGTTTTCTTAAAAAGTGTTCAACTGCTTATGTTTTTCAGTAGCATAAGTGAAGATAAGTGAATTCGAGTCTGAAAAGCTTTCCTGTATGTATATTTTCCTTTTTTCAAAATTATTTTCAATTCTATATCATTGGTTAAATCAATGACATTGCTATTAGAATTACCAAATACCTCATGGAGTTTACTTAAATTATTTCTCAAGAAACTGGTCATACGGTCTTTAAAGTGGACCAGGGATTATATACAAATCTTAGATATATGAATGGATTTTGAGCTCAGACTTAATCATGAAACCTAATCTAAAAACAATTAGTTCTTACAATGCAGCCCTACCCAGTACTTGTCCTCATGAAATGATCACTGATGTTATGGGTACCATAGCAACGCGTAGTGAAGAAACCCGAAGGTATCCAGCTATGAGAACGAATAGGATCTTGGGCTTATAGGTTTGAATTAAAACAAGTACCTATGCTGCTTGCCTTCTGAGGGTATATTGTCAATCCCTACAACTAGTAACTTTTACATTATGTTCACTGTCACATCCCAACTATCCTATAACTTCCAAAACAATACCATTCAACACCTGAAAACCTCAAACTCAGGTCTCCTGAAGGAGTATAAACATCCACTTCAAAAGTGTGCGGTTACTTTAAAAAGATACCTAAAGATGACAGTGTTTCACACGTCTGCAAAAGTTACATTTATCTTTCAGTGAATTACAACCTTTCATTTTTGCCAAATAATGGCAACGTTTAAATTCCAAGTTATAGTTCTCGATTTCAAGGTTTTTGTACAGATACCAGTAAATTAACAGATAATACAATAGTTAGATTTTGTGTCAACTTGACTGCACCAGAATTATCAATAGTTTGGCAATTAACACGTCGTAATCCTTCATGCCCTGACCAAACAGGATGAAATCACAGCCAATCAATTGTAAGACAATTAAGTTGGGATGCACCACCCTCACTCAGATCACAGCAGCAAAATGCAAGCAATTGAGAGGATGAAAGTTGCGGCTTACTTCCAATGTCAGTAGACACTGTGGGAGATGTTTCTTGCTTTTTGCTGGGTTTGGATCCTGCCTCTGCCTTATAGACCTTCAGTTAGTTAGACTTGAACCAGTGGCCCCCAGATTACTTGACGTAGCTGACGGTTATCAGCATCCTGCCATTTTACCTGTTGACCTTGTCGTCGTTTGCCTCTGCCTCCACCACCTTGAAGTCTTCCTGCCATCAGCACACCCCTCACCCCAGCTACACAAGGCGGGAGAAGCCCCCAGCCTCACATCTGACCCATGGGCTTGGACCTTCCTGGACTTAGACTTGCCTGTTTCTACAACTGGGTGCATCATTTTCTTGTTACAAATGTCTCCGCATAGATACATACATAGTCTTCACTGATGCTTCTTCTCTAGAGAACATGCCAGAAGAAACCAGCTCCTAGCACAATCACTACGGGTTCAGTAGGTGCAATTATACAGCGATAATAAGTAAATATTACAGTAAAGTTATAAAGAGCATAGAGATAAAAGAGATATATAGACATAAATGGAGTCAGACAAATTTCATGGTAGCATTGCTCACCTCAGCCCTGCTTGGTGGTCCACGTGGAGGGAGAGGGAAGGAAAGGAGGGCAAGGGAACAAGGGAGAGAGGACGGGAGAGGAGAGGGGGGAGAGAGGGGAGCCAGAGAGAGAGGTCAGAGAGAGAGGTCCTAGAAAGAAGTCAGAGAGAGAGAGGTCAGAGAGCTCTACATTGCTGACTCACGCCTACATCCCTTTTGGGGGCATGCCAGCCCACTAATTACAGGTAGAGACATATGTCACAGGGAGGGGCTGCACTATAGGTTACACAGCAATGAGAAGGGGTGGTCCAGGGACATACACTCAACAGGAAGAGAAGGGACAGAGTCCAAGTTTGGCTTGTTCCTGGCCCAACTGATAGAGACCATTATCAGTAGGATGCGAACTCCGCCCACAGGAGCCTGTCCATTGTCTCAAGAGCAGGGAGCAGGCCCAGGACAGTCTGGCAACTGAACGCCCTCAGGGGAGGGAATGCCTGCACATCTGACCTCCCCCCACAAGAACACAGCCTAAAAAAGACAGCTTTTACTATGTTGGGCCGATGGAGTATACAAAAAGCTCTCAGTAGTGTGATATCAATTTTGTATCAGTTCTATCAGAGTTTTTCAAATATAAAAATCAGCTCATTCAGGTAATGGTTAGACTGTGCATCTAAGTCATGAAATAAAGGAAAGCTTTCAAAGTTCTTGCTGTTGAACATTAAACAGCTGACATTCCAGTGGTTGCCATTAAAACTCATGAAAAAGGTAAACACTGAGGTTAAGAAGGATTTATTTTCCAGGAATAACATGAATACAAAGTTTAGTGCAGCCCAGTATCAACGTAGAACAGTGTTCTTCATAGGGTCACACTGAATTCTATTCCTAAGAAAAATTCATTCTAATGACGAGACCACGCTGGATACATACCCTCATGAAGAGATCACTGCCAAATGGATGCTACAGCAAAATGTGGTGAAGAAACTAGATAGCATTGGCTAGCAGAAAGAATGGCTTCTGGGGTCTTCAAAACTTGCCTTCAAACAAGGAGTCCTATAAGTGAACCCTCAACTAAGTTCACATGGTGTTACAGCCGGCTTTCCCTCGGCCCCAGGAGCAGAGAGGCAGAGTCACCGAGACTGCAAACCACCAAGGAGTTTATTGACCAGCTCGAGCTAGGGCCCAAGTGCTAAGGTACCAACGCAGTGGCCACCAAAGACAAGGACCCCAGCCTGGGGCACACGCCAAGCTCGTCTACTCTTTACAGGTGACATCAACTGGGTGAAACGATCTGATCCCCTCGATGACTTCATCCGGAGACGATTGGTTGTGCAGGTCTTTTTAGTTGGCTGGCTCCACTCTCGGGACGTTCCAATTGTGGTCACTCATGACTTTCCAGGTGCGGTCAGCATCATTGTGATCACTCGGACCTTTCCAGGTGTGGTCAGCGTCATTTTGGGCAAGAGGGTGACTTTGTTAGAGAAACGAAACTCAAGGCTGTTAGAGAAATGAAACTTAAAGCTGGAAAAATGAAACTTAGGCCTATTTTAAGAGGCTCGGCCTGTCATGGAGTCAGTGCTGCCTTACAATGGAAGAAGCACATCAGCCCATGTGATCGAAGGTTTGAAAATAATATAATTCATCTCTGAAGGCAGGAATTATTTCAGAGCTTAAATTATGGATCCCTGGTTGGGTGAGTGCTATTGATGACCGAGGAAGTCCAAAATCCATTTGCAGGATCGATACATAGATTAAACTTAGGGTGATTGTTCCTGATGGATGTGAAGTGTGGTCCTCAGACAGAGTGTTGTAGAAGTGATTATAGTATAGACAGGTTAAAATGTAACATAGGATTTGATCCATTTTTGGAACCATTTTAAAATGCTAGCAAGTTTTTGAAGTGAAGGAGAAATGCACACGGGTGCAGCCTCCAGTGACTGCCCTCGGAGCGTAGACGAGGGATGGACTGGCCTTTGCTATCGGACAGAGTGGATTGTGAAGTGGATGATGACAGATAGGACGAGGCTGAAACCTAACACCTTTCCTCCGAATCTCCATTTTGACACATATTAAAGTCGTTCCAGTGTTTAATATGTTCCATTTTCTTCTCAACTGAAGCATTTCTGTATGACGTTCCCATTGTGGTCAGCTTTTTTTGACTCTTTCCTTTTTGGTCTTGCATGTTTTCCCGTCTATGAAATCCAAGATGATGTCTCCATAGAGACAGTAGCTAGATGAAAGGTCCTTTGGGCTTTGGCAAGGGAAGTTGGGAGGGATTGAAAAGTGAATAACAAAGAGCACAAGAAAAAAGAAAATGTTTAAACTTCATTATGGTCATGATTGTCCAGCTCTCCTTGATATGAATGAGCTATGGAGTTGTATGATATTTGGACTATGCCCCAATAAAGCTGTTTATTATTTTTAAAAACAGTGTTTGTACAATACTAAGAAACCCATGAAGAGAAAAGATAATTGCTTATGATACAAATATAATTTTAAAAGCATTTGCCAAACAAAATAGGGGTTGCAGTTGACAACCCTTATAATTTCTTTTTATATACGAAGAAGACCTAACATATAAAATTTGTCTAAAAAAATCTCAACTTGAATACCACAAATATCTCAGCATGTACGCACACTATTTCCTTTGCTTTTACTCATCAATCGTAATTTAAATAGGACTGATTCTTTGAAGAATTTCTTTTTGTTAACTAATGTAAATTAGCTACAAAGATATTGAATATTTTGGCAAACAATTGTTCTAAATTTTTATTCCTTTTGTGAAAACCAAGAAGTAAATATATAATCAAACTATTCAACAAATGCAACATCAAAAACTGTCAATTTTTAGAACTGTCAGTAAATAAGGTTATTCAAGTTTATAAACGGAAAGTGCTGAATGTTCACATTTGCTCCTACACAAGGAAGGAAGGAATTAGCCAGATATAATTATGAGGACTCAATGGTATAAAAGACTAAACCTTAAAATTTAGAATGCCTCAACTTCTAGAAGGATTATGTTTATAGAGTTATTGTTTTGATGGAATAACTACATGACTACATTACAATGCAACAAAATGAAAAAGGCTATGTTTGCACACTTCTAATTTGGCTAGACATTCCAAAAGATCATGAATAGGAGAAAGTTAGGTCATGAATTGTAGTATTAAATTAAAAAGTGGAGCGGGGGAGTGGGGTGCCAGCCCCCACCCGCTGCTACTACTATTACTACTACTCGGATTCAGTAATGCACAATTGTACGGTTGAGATATATAAGTATTATATTAAAGTCAT